TTATTTATTTTAGGAGGCGACTTCAAGTGTAGACTCCACAACAATAGCGGACGAGTTTCAACTCTATGCAGAAACCTAGATAAATCCAATTTATCTGGTACAAATGAGCAAAACTTAACGACATATTTGTCACAACGTAAGCAGTGTAATCGATTTACTCTTTATATCCAATTCACATCACAGAAGACACAGTTGCTCGCGTATACCAATGCGTAATTTCAAAACATCAGATGTTAAGTTGTGAAATAAACAGAGAAGTCGAAGTCTGCAACGGAAGAAACGAATCAAGAAACTGGACGTCAATTACATTTTGGAACAGAACATACAAGCAGACATGGACATCAGGATATTCCAACATCGTCAGCCTTCTGCAAAGAGCATGGGTAGAGCCAAAATATCGAAAATCCAAGCCCTGGTTTGACCGCGAATGTTATACCGCGAATGTTTGACCGCGAATGTTATAAACACAAAATATTGAAGAATAACTGTGACAAAAGTGGCATCAACGCTGAAATGACAATTTAAAGCTCTGTCAACAGAAAAAACGTAATTTTCTGAAAGAACAAGAATTAACCATTGTTTGCCAAGCTGAAAATGACAAACGGAAATTCTGGAGCACCCTCAACAGCAAGAAACGAAGCCCTGCGCCGAGTCAGGTGCAACGCGAAAGTTGGAAGCAGCAATTTGAAGAACTTTATTCGACCGACAATGCAGTTATTTTACCTCAAATGGATCCAAATAATTACAGCGATGAACTAGAGAGACCAATTTCATTGCCTGAATTAACCAAAAGTGTAGCGTCACAGCAAAATAACAAAGCGGCTGGACCAGACGCCATTACCAATAAAGCTTGGAAATCCGCGTTTGGAGCTCTGTATATTCATATTTTCATTCTGTTTACCAGTTACTTTTGCCAGGCCAGCATTCCTACACAATGGCGAGATGCGTATATCAACCCTCTGTACAAAGGGACTGGGGCCAAAAGTGATCCTGACAAGTTTAGATGTATCACTTTACTCAACACTATTTACAAAATTTACACAGCAATCCTGTATGAGAGCTTATATACTTGATGTCAAAATAATTTTATCGTCCAAGAAGAACAACATGGTTTTACCAAAGGAAAGTCTACCAAAGGAGCCGTACGACAACTCAACTCAATTATCGAAACTGGTATCTACGAGCACAAGCACTGTTACATAGTATTTGTTGCTTTCAAGAAGGCATTTGACACAATAGGTAGGTCTGTTCTGTTGAAAAAGCTGGTGAAAATTGGTGTATCTACTGGTTTTGTGACTATTTTGTACGATATTCTGAAATATTACATTTTGAGAGTTGCAACAGAAGTGTATTGCCCGAGCCAATAACCCAATGCATTGGTCTTGCTCAAGGAGACAAACTATCACCTTTGCTCTTCACTATTTTTTATCGCAGACCTACCTGATAATCTCAACAGCTGTGGATGTACCTGTAACTTCTATGCAGACGACCTAGTGATTACGCCTGGTGAGTTATACGAGGTGAAAATTGCTTTACACAAACTTGGGTTGTACTGCCAGGAGAATAGTTTACAAGTTAATGTCCGAAAAACAAAAGCTATGAAATTCCGGAATGGTGGCAGGCTCAGAAATGTTGACAGACTTCGTAATCTGGGAGAAAAAATTGAGTTCGTCAATGCATTTTGCTACCTGGGTGTCACCCTCAGCACACAGAATGTTGCAACAGCTCATCATAAAATCCGGAAAGAAAAAGGATCCAACAAGTAAATACTCTAGCCGCCAAAGTCGATTTACAAATTATAAATTTTACGACTGCTGAGACACTGTTGCACAGTGTTATCTTGCCATCTGCTACATATGGTTTATCACTTTTCATAAAAGAACCCGATTTCTTTAAAATGTTACTTTTGGAAAAGGTGGGCCAGAATCTCAAAATATACGTCAACAACGCGACTGCTGGAACATCTGTTCAACCACGACTTCCTCGACTTGCACAAAGCTAAGGGAGAAGCAAGAAGAGCCATTGCATGGTACTACTCAAACGGACTCCATCATAAAATATGCAAATTCTTTAACTGCTACAGGCCAGAATCGATATGTGAATGCAGAATCTGCGACAAAAAAGCTATCACATTCGATCACATACTGAGAAACTGCGTAGTCGACCTAAGGACTGACAAAAATCGACTAACAGAGATCCTTCATCTGACTCCTTGATAATTATTTTACTGCTGTATCTTTTTTGATACGTTAATTCAATTCAATTCAATTCAATTCAATTTATTTCAATGAATAAAAAAAATTCTAAAAATCATATTCAACGTTTTTTTTATTTTTTTTTGCAACATTTAACCTAACCGAAAAGCTTGTGATTGACGACAGAAGATAATCAAGAACATTCAAGGCTTTGCACTGATACAAAAGCAGGTTCGCTTAATTATGCGAACAAAATCTGCAGTACCTCCAAATATGTTTGTACAAACTAAAAAAGGTAAGAAAACTAGATCTATTCTAGAAACCTAAAACAAATTAATACAATAGAACAAAAAAAATATAATCGGAGAACTTGACAAGCCGTAAAAAATGTCTGAGCAGAAACCCATAAAACCAAAAAAGAATTGTAAAAAGTTCGGAAAAATATTCAAAACTATAAAAACCTGTTAGGCTCACCGCCCTCAAACTGCACACACACGCACATAAATAATCTTTTTTCGCTTACCAAAAGATTCAATTCGGGCCACTAAGCTAATTTTAACACAAAAGCGAACCTGAGTTTCGCAAACACTTGCGAGAGCACGAACAAAGAGCAGCTCTATCAAATGAAATAAAAGAAAAAGTAGAACTAAGACTCGAATTAGCAAAAATTCGGCTACGTGTCGGATTTGAATCTGCGACCCAGCAAATTTGAGTCTCACGCACTAACCACTCAGCCACATATGCTTAAAATTCCCAAAAACTAGCCACTAACAACGCAGCTAGATATGCTAATAAATTGCCAATTCGACGCAGCAAAACAAGAACCAAATACAAAAAGGCACAATTTTGCATGTGATTAATAAGAAAGCATGAAGCCAAATTATGTATAAATTGTTCATTTCAAAAAAATTGCGAGATACATTGAGTTGAAAAAATTCTGAAATCGAGCTTTTTTTTAAAATTTTACTGTGTTTTAAACAATTAAATTTTCTCGGTTCATTTGATGAAGTACAAATGCATCAGCTGTGTTAACTTTTTACTAACCAAATGTCAAAGCCCATGATATATTATACTGCTACTGCAGCCTACCGACTCAAAATTGCTCCCAAAAGTAGCACTCTTTTTGCGACTCAGGTTGGAAAAAAAAGAAAGTTTGTACTAATACAATTTGCTTCGCAAGTGTAAATATGCCAAAACCTATTAAACCAAGAAATAAGAACATGAAAAGCAAACCAAAATGAAACTTTTACAAACCGAGGTAAAACTACAACCAAAATAAAAATTAACAAATTTCGAATAGGCCGTATATTTGAAATCCTTACATGCTCAAAATATCTCTGTTGCAATAGAAAGGTCTAGTGGATGAATGAGTCCAGGAGATGAACCCAGGAAAAAGTCTAGTACTCGATTGCAATAATCTTGCTATGGCAAATGTAACTAGAAAATGAATTGATCTTGAAAAGCGGTCAAACTGCAAAAAATCAACTTCGAGCTTAAACAATTTTTCAGTCATTTTCCTGAAAAAAAAGAAAAAATTTTCAATGACCTGTATAAATGTCTTCACTGAATTCATTGAGACTTGCACATACGAGCCGAAAATGGATGCTAGATACACTTTTTTACCTCACTTTAAGGAAAATTTGTTTTATGCCTTCGGAAGAAATCACGCGTAGAAAAAAATGGCATTTCAGACCTGGAATAAAGTGAACAACTAAATAAAAAGAAGAAATTTACCAACTAACCGTGCTCAATGTAAAGAGCGGACGAATTTCAACTAATATACGAAACAGTTCATTGAAAACATCCGACACTGTCCAGGTTCGAACCCTCTTATTTTGTTGAGGGCCTCCTTTCTTGCTACAGATCCATGATACCTTGAAGCTATTTTTAATATAATAGTCTGTTTTAATATCCTTAGCATTGGCTGTACTTAATAGCTGGTTACTGATAAAAATGAACTTTAAAAATGAACACATTTGTCGCCAGAATATTAGCGACTTAGATTGGAAAAAAAGAGTTCATATTACAACACAAGCTTTGCTGGTGTAAACAGTCATTTTAAAGATTAAAATCTTTAAGTTGCGGTTTATTTTATTATCGCATTTTAAGAACCAGAAAATTTTCTCTCAAATAAATTTTTGATATTTTTTTAGGTAGATCTCTGATCATTTGCTCCTGAAAAACTGCTCCTGGTTTTTAGGGACTAAAAACCTGAACTTGCGTTTATTTTTTCCACTTTTTTTGGTAGATGCATGCGGTTTGATTTCACTTTCGCTTTTAAGATTCCCTCCGAAATTTTACATTTTGACCTACTTGTCTGTCAGCAGTACTGTTTTTGCTTGTGTTCATCCCAAATGTCAAGTAAGGAACATTGCTCATCACATTGGGGACCGTCTGGGTCAAATCTAAGCCATTTGTAGCCATCTGCGCGAAAAGGAAGAGAGCATACAATCTTTTATAGGACATCAGAAACAATGTTTCAGAAATAATTCATTCAATTATATGCAAGCTCTATTAGCACGAAGTTATTGAAAAAACAGTGAACAAATTTTTGGTTCCTAATCATTCACGTTATTTAGAGCAAAAGAACAGTCCAAGTAAACATTATGGCAAAAATTTGCCTTGAGTCTTTTTTTAGTTTCATGACCAAACGGTAAGGCCCCAAAAAAATTGAAGAACTTTTGCAACCGGGCCAGCTGAAAATTTTATGTCTTATGCCACACTTTAAACAGTGCCAACAGCCTCATGAAACTTGATCTCAAATCCTTTGTAACACTTGTCTCTTAATGGTAATTAACAAAAACTTCATGTTTGTAAAACTGAATTAGAAACAAATTGATAAGAGCCAAGAAACAAAAACCCGCCAACAGAAATCCAAAAAGTTCTTGGTCCAGCTCCTGAAAATAATACTTTGATAGGATTTTGTTCTTTAAACAGTTTAAGAGCAACATTCACTGGCGATTGAAAAGAACCAGATTTTAACATAGTTCTTGTTTTAATAACGTCAAGAGGTGTTGTGACGTAAGCAGCGAATCCTCCTGCCACAAAGCCAGCTATTGCAGAATGGAAGGTTGTTACTTCTAGACTATTTGTGCTCTTCGCTAGTTTTTGTTTCAGGGCCTCCCAAAGGGGAAACTGGATGGCAGCGAACGGGATCTCACGACATACTGTAGCCAGGAAGCCTCGATAGAACCCTTTGATTCCTGAAACAACGGTTCATTTGTAGTATATCTATATCACAAATTAATAAAGCGACCAGAAAAGCAGTGAAACAGTTGGTTCACTCGCTACCCCTCCTGCGAATTTTAACATAAGCGAATTTTTTCCAGTAAAACTTCGGCTTACGATGTCCGATTAGAAAAAGAGACCAACAGACTAATTATCCTCTTCCGAGCATAAAAATTGTGGTTTCTATGATTCGGAGAGGATCTATGAAAAAGCTATCAGGTCTGTCTCAGCAGATTCCTCTTCTATTATTTCCAAACAATTCGGACTAAGTTGAATTGTTGAGCTAAGCTCTTTTCTGGGTCTAGAACTTTCACGTGGTACCACTATTGAAGCCGAAATATGTCAGGCTGTGGAAGACCTGAAGCTAGAGGTCGAGTGAGAGCTAGATCTCACACACTATCATTGTCGTGGCAAAAGATCGAACAATTCGGACTATCTCAAAGTGAACACCTTCACACTTTGCTGAGTGTCTCGAACTCATATTGTTTAGATACAACACATTGGCTTTCTGGAACTATAAACTTCTTTCTATAACTTTCTTGGCGAATACAGAGCGGTTCATTCGATATTCACAATTATCTTCGTGTCCACAACTAAGCTCCTTGTAAAAAGTCTTGTTACATCATAAATGATGGTAAATTTTGTATTATTCAAGACTGAGCTGTTTGACAGCGATGCTTCTCTTTATAGCTCAAACTAACCGGATTGTTTGAAGACCTGTGCAGCAGATAAAAGACTGGATCTGGAGTGTCCCACTTGGGTCTTCTGTTTCACCACTTCCACCGGCACTCGAACCAAACACGCAACAGTTTCACCACAAGCTGCACTTACAATCTAAAATCAACAGATAGTATTTACACACAATTCCAGGAAAATTCCATTTAAAAGATTACATAATTTCGAAAATCGTGAACTTCATCGCAGGGGCGGATCTAAGATTTTCTGGAGACGTGGTTGATTATTTTTTTAAAATTCAAAATTTTCATCGATCTTTTTTTAAATCAACCAAATTGATTTTCTGAGCTCTCCCAAATCACTGTAAAGAACCAGTTTCGGCCAAATTTTGCACCGCCGCAGGCGAATTTAAAAAAAAAAACAGGCCAAAAAAGGCGTTAGGCATTTTCTGGGACATTTTCATCAAAATCGCGATTTTTCGGCGCGCTCTTCCTCCTCAAATTTAGTATATATTTATATTGGCGCCAAAAGCTCCCTTAGAAAAATTAAAGATCAGTCAGCCAAAAATGCATATCTCAAAAAAGTACAAAAGGTGGCTCCTTTTGGCCGGCGGGTATCGAATCCCTGAAGGCGGCGTCCCTCCCCCTAAATCCCTTACTCCTTCGTAGTGCTGATAAAATAAATAATAGTTTGCTAAGTTCACAAGCATAAAATCCGCAGCATCGTCAAAGCATGGGATATTCCTGTAAATAGCTTTTCGTGAGATTCTTTGGAAAAATTACAGATATTGGAAATTTGAGTATCTGCAAGTAGCTTAAGACATGATTGAAATTGTGATATAATCCAATGAAAAATTCTGTTCCACGATAATTGTACTTTTAAAGCCGGCTACTACATTTAAAAAAAAATAAAATCACCTGTCCGCTTAGAAGAGTTGATAGGGGAGATTCATGTGAAGAAAGATGTCTTTTACAAGTGTCGTATGTGAGGAAGAACAAAGCAGCTCCTGGCACTGATCCGGCAGACACCACAGCCAATCCAGAGTAGATTGCACGCAAGCCACCGGACTTCACAAAACCCTGCCGAAAACAAGTTCTTGACGGTTAAACGCAGTCCTTCACAGAGAACTTTTCCATACTTCCACTTCCTCCATGATTCCTCCCTTACGACCCCCCACAGAAACATTTTGCGCCCAAAACTTCATCTACCGAACGTTAAGAGATAAATGATCATCAAAATCAAATATCAAAAATCAATGTTAATTGCGAAAAACTGACGGAATAAAAACTAATGGTCAGAACAATTGATAACTTCGAAGAAAAAACTCAATCATTTCAAATTGTGTCTCACATACCTTGACATACCTGCTGTGACTGTAATCTGGTCTTGATAGTGTCCACGGGGAATAGGACCACATCCGTGACTAGTCCCGCCACTCCCCCACTGACCAAGCTCCTCATCACGTGACTATACTTCAATTCAGGTGACTCCATTTTAAACAAAACAACAAACAATCTGAAAACTGAATGCTCTTTAGTCTGTACGTACTATAATTCTGTTTTTTTTTCTGGTAAGCCGGTGTAGCCATTTGTGTAACAAAATGTCTGGCTAAGGGCTGACCAAATTAGCTGAAACTTGGTATGGTTGCGGGTGTCTATTGCGTGATAACTACTCGCTAAAATTATTCAAAATGAAAAATTGCTCATGGATAAAAAAAACAAAAAATGAAGTAAGTGACTGTTAGGGTTGCCTTGTAATTGTTATATATCATATTAAAGCCCTTTCAGCCCTTTCCCAACTTCTTTTTCTAGTCTCCAGAAAAACCTGTTTGAAGTTTTTGATTTTTCGTCTTAATTCGAGCTAATAAAGCAAGCGAGCAGGCTTACAACAGCTGAATTATGCCTACTTTAAAACATTCAAACTTAATTTTAAGCAAGTGAAAATAGCTTTTGGAGTTTTTTAGCCTCATTTCGGGAGCCAAAAACTTCAAAAATTTTCCGCAAAAAGTTTTGATTTTTTTAGTTTTTCTAGTCCCTTTTCTACAAAATTTTTGTCCAATTTGTCTATATTACTATGACTGTTGTCTAATATGCCTAAATGATATTTTTACGTCAGATCTTTTTTATCATACCAAGCTGAAAAAACTACACTAATTTAAAAAAAACTTTCTAACACGTAGTTTTTTAAAGACTATGATCGGAACATTCTGTGCTACTTACACAGTAACCGCCTATCCTTGTTTTACATTAGAGCGTCCAAATTTGAAATTTGCCTTTTTTAAACGAAATTGAGATATCATTTTGTAAATAAAATCTCTGATAACTGATTTTTAAAAGTTTTTACATGGTAATGCTATTTGCAAAAAGAAACGATTTATGGCGAAAAACGTATGCTCTGTGAGTATAGTCAATTATTTACATCAAATGACTGGCTTAAAATAGCAGATCAGTACCACTACAGCAGTTCGAAGAACTAGCGCTTTTTCGACAAAATTGCGTGTGACTATTTACACCAAATAAAATGATGACCGTGGAAAACTCTTCTCAAAACATTTAACGTAGCCAACAGATAGCTGGAAAAGAGTAATTGAATGCAAGTAAAAACAAAAACAACTTATTTTTTTTTGGAAAAACCTCAACTTTTGACGAATTTTTTAAAGAAAAAAATGGATAGCCTTAAAGCCCTGGGAAACTCTAGAACAATTTATGATCGAGAATTTTCTAATAAAAACTTACCCAATTTGAGAAAATTGGATCATAAATTTTGTTTAAAGCTGGAAGTCGGTAACGTTTATCATGACTTTTACACTTTCGCTGTCCATGGAATTTGCATTCAAGGTAATGAACTGAACTTCAGATAAAATCACAATTCAGACTTTGATTAAATTTGAGAAATTTGAGCCTGAACCAAACTTATGACTTTTCCTGAAAAAAAAATCATCACAACCTATGTAAGTGTCCAGAGGCTGATTTAGGTGGAATACCTTTTCCTTCAGATATTTTACCCCCTTATCAACCAAATGGTCATCGGCGCCAATAGAAAAAGAACAAAACTGAAAGAAAAAAAACGAACAGAAAATAGTTTATCGAAGTTTTTCAAGAACCTCGAAAAAATGCATATTAAAAAAGATCGTATCTCCTAAGCTGTTAAAACATGGAGCTTCAGATTTTACCCTGTTAAACGTAAGCCTAAAACAAAAGTTAATAATACCAATAAATTTCCTTATTTAACAGAAAAATTACTGCTTACATTTTGCAGGATCTCGAATTGAGAGATAACTTCAATTCATTCATTTTTATTATTCATGTATTATTATACTGAAAAGCAAAGAGTAGTTTGTATTCGGATGTGGTTTTATTTTTTTTGTTTTCCGCGCAAAATCAGGTATTACAAACAATTATCTGAAAGGTTTGAGTCAAATAACATTATGAACATTTTCAGTCGTGATTCGAACATTAAAAATTTTGAAAAAAAAAATTTCCAGAAAAACTAGTTTGAAATTTTTGATTTTTGGTCTAATTTCGAGCTAAAAAGGTGAGGCTAAGCAGAGTTACAAAAGTTAATTATGCTTATTTTTAAGCAGTGAAAACTTAGTTTTACTTGAATAAACTTAGTTCTTTAGCGCCAATTTTTGATTCAAAAACTTATTTCAAAACCTTTCTAAAAAACAATTTTTTAACGATTTTTCATTTTTCTACAAAAGCTGTTTTCCAATTGGCCTATTTTACTATGAACGTCAAGTATGATCAAGTGCTATTTTTTTTAGTCAGACTTTTTATCAAACCACGCAGAAAAACGACACTATTTTGAAAAAAAATTTGAAGTATTTTTTTAACGGTTAGGGTCAGAAATTTCTGTGCTACTTAATCAGTAAACGGCTATCCTTGTTTCATGGTTGTCCTCAAAATAAAAAGCATTGTTTTCTCTGATATACAAACACTTGCTCAACGTGTCTACCTATAGATAAATCTTCATTCGTATCTACAAAATTAGAGGGCTACAGATCTTCTTAGTTTTAACTCAGAAACCGAAAAAAACATAGGAGGGTGGAAGCATTCAACTGCATCTTTTAAACAGAAGAGCGGAAGGAACAGTCGTTTCGTTCATGTTGAATTTTCAAGAAACTTCAATTTCGGACAATGATAGCCGGTTACAGTGCAAGTAGCACAGAATGTTCTGACCATAATATAGAAAAAAAAATTTTTTTTCTTAAAATTAGTGTCGTTTTTTGTTCTGGGTGGTGTGATAAATGGATCAGAATGAATAACTAGAACTTAGAAATATTCGACAGTCATAGTAAATAGGCATAGTAGAATACAACAAAATATCAAAAAAATTCAAATTAGATTTTTTTGAATTTTTTGTAGTGTTTTTTGAATTTATTTTTTGATTTTTGTTTTATTCCCAAATGGTGCTAAAAACTCCGAAAACAACTTTAAATGGGTAAAAAAGTATTTTCACGCCCTAAATTAAGCAAAAATAAGCTGTAAACCTGCTCGCTCGCATTATTCGCTCAAAATTAGACTAAAAACCAAAAATTTTGAAACTGTTTTTCTCAATACTGAAATCATTTATCGTAAAATTTTGCACGGACGGAAGGGCTTTAATATAATATATCAGTCAACCCATTCCCATAATTATTTGAGGTATCTGATTTTGCGTGGAAAATAAAAAAGAAAAAAAAAACTAAAACACCCTAATACCCTTCAAATATTCAAAGCCCCATTGTTTGATATCGACGAATATTGGGATAGTATTTCAGAAATCTGCCAATATGTTTCTTTCTTTCTATCGAATATTCCGATTTTATTATTTTCAAGTCAATTTAAATCTTACTGCCACTTTTCAAAAGTGGCAGTAAGATTAATATTTATCACCAAATGGCTAAACGACTATTTATGCTATTTGGGAAATTTACAAATATTATGCAATTAGGAAAATATTTTGAAAGTTATGCCATTTGGGAATTATGCTATTTGAGACATAATCCGTTTAAGCATTATTTATTTCTGCCAGCAAAAATAAATAGGCAACTTTTTTTGCGCCGAGAACTCTAGAAATTAAATTCCTTATCCGCAACCAAAAGTTATTCACGTTAATTCCACTTTTGTTAATGCACAGTGTTGTTTGCTTCGTATTTAGCAAATTAACTTTTCTTCAGCTTAAAACAAATCAGGAGTCGAACCGCAAAAAAATCTAACTAGAACAAATTTGACGGCGTTTTTCTGAAAGCAAAAAAGAACAACCACAAGACCTAAATATGCTTTAAATCACGTCGCTCATTAACACTTAAAAAGGGGCCCAAAATGGCATGCTAGCAGCATATATTAAGGCATCAATTGAGGCAATTTAATTAAACGGGTTTTGTGTATAGCTCCAGCTGTTTAAATACCGGAAAACATTAATCTGTGGCATCTCGTTCCGTGATGAAAAACCAAATGCGAAGTACTTCCCTCCTCCTTCCTCAAGAAGGGTCAAACATAACTAGCATGGCCCGGTATTAGAAAAACTTAGCAACTACTTATTTAGAAACAATTATCTATAATATCTGAAATTGTAACTATCTATTCAGTCAACAGAAATAAATTTATAGATCAGTAATTGGGTGGAAAAATATCAGTTTTATGCGCTTGCAACCACTATCACTAGTTGCTTGCTCAAGGAAAACGGACCCATTAGAATCAGATTCCAACGGAAAGAAGCTTAAAGTTTTCAACAATCAAAATCCAGCGGTACAGGTTTTGCTATCTTTATCCATTCGCTTTCAGACTTAAACAGCTGAACAATTCAACTTTTATTTTGGAGCGGTTAATTAGCTTCTGAATTTCATTGATTCAATGCCATTTGACGTTCTGACTCCAGAATCGACTAATCCCACGACTGATAGGTTCCGGGCGGTGGCGCCGGTTTCTTTCCAAACCCGTGACCTCTTCCTCTTCCTTTTGACCTTCCCATTTTGGCTTGAGGGTTATGACTCATAGTAGACGCCGCCGATTGGACACTGAAGCTACTCTGTGCGTCATCATCATCCTCGAAGATAGTGTTATGCAGCGATTGAGGCGCTGCTCGATTCACGCGTTGACCAGGTTGTATTTGTGACGCCTGAGATGTCGTAAAACTTGAAGAGGAGGCATTAGAACGAGTTGCGAAACTTCTGCTTCTACCTGAAGGTTTCCACGCATCCTGGCCATTGTCACTATTGATTGAATTTGACACAGCACTTGACATGTCATCGTCGCCGTCAAAAACCATCGCTGATGAAGGTGTGTTTGGATAGTTGAAATTCGGTCGAGACGCTGTACTTGAATAGTTACTAACACTAGGTGCAACACGGGCTTGGTACTGGTTATGTTGCCGGCTCGGATTAGCTGCATGCCATGGATCTCCGTTTCCAGTATCACCAGACAAGTTCATTCCATGGACCCCTGTCACGACAGACGAAGTTGCTCCCGAACTCCAATTCGAAGTGAAATCAGATCCAGTCTGTCTATATTTGAAATCAACTGTTGTTCCAACTGCCGATTGACATTCGTCTTGTTTGTTCAAATGTTTTGAAAAGGATTCCATTACTGGCACTGGGAAGTTTTTACCAGTTATTGGAATGTCAAAGTGACCTTCTTTCTTAAGAGCACTTGTGGTCATAAAGCAAAGTTTTCGAGCATTGGCCTGGGCACATACGGAGGCTTCTGCATCTGAATGATACTCGCACATCATTCCGGGAAGGTGTTCAAACTCGAGACTCTTAGCCTCGTTTTCACAATAGGCTATCATTTTTTCCATACTCATATCAGTTCGCAGATTAGAATTATTAAGCATCGCGAGCAACGCTTCGTCAAAACTGTAAACTTCAAAACGAAAAGCGTTGCCAGGGTTATCTTGTGTCGTATTCAGATACGATTCTCGTAGAAACTCATTTAAAGTATAGTTCACCTTGTTCACGCTTGATAAACTTGTGATCACTGGAACTACAGCTTTACACGGAGTGTGAATATCTTCAATTTTCACACTGTTGTTCACGTGATTCTGAATTGCTTTGAACACTTCGTGATATTTTGACGATGGAACCGCATCCTGGTAGAACTCTGGAATCTGATGTTTCTCTTGGTGGTCCATAAATTGGGCACGATACCCCAGCCAGATTTTTCCAGGATCCACGAACTCATGATAGCTAGATATGATTCCCTTTCGCATCGACCAGATATTTAGAGCTATTTCGGACGGCAAAAAGTCTTCTCGATTGGGCATTTGCTCGTTGATAAGAGCAACAACATCACCGATGATGAAATGATCGTGTTCAACTTGTGCTGAAATGAAAACAGAAGTGCACATACAAAATATGCGTGCAACATCAACGCACAGACAGCTGGAGAAGCGTTAAGGAACCCAGAGAAACTGCCCTAACAAAGGAAACAAGAAAACTTCAAATGTTTTTATCAACTTTGAAAATTGATAGAACAAGTTTTGTCAACTTGAAGCTTACTAAATTTCAAGATTCTTTTATGACTGCCATTTTTTGTTAAAACACACAAAATTTGCGAAAGCTGGATCAATAGATAATTTCTTCATACCGCACAGAAATGTAAACATTTGAAGAGAGAAAAGAGGCTGCACACGTCTTTTAAATAACTTTGATAAATTGAATTTCAAGAAAAAATCAAAGGGGGAACTGGAAAAGAGCCCACTTCTCAAACGAGAAGTTAAGCTGATTTTTGCGCACCGATTCCCTTTTCTCAATCAGGTTCCATCGCTTTAATTAACAAAAATGATGAAAAATTGGAATCACGCCGACATTGATGGACTCGAGAATTGTTTCACAGAAAAAGCATTAAGGCGAAATAACCGAAGGAATAACAAATTCTGGCTCTTGTCCACTTTCTCCGCCATATTTGAATTTCAAGTTGTAAAAACTATTTTAACTTTGTCATATTGTAATGAAATTTTGCACGGCGAGCAAATCAACAATTGTGAACAGATGAGCAAATCAACAATTGTGAACAGATGAGCAAATCAACAATTGTGAACAGATGAGCAAATCAACAATTGTGAACAGATGAGCAAATCAACAATTGTGAACAGATGAGCAAATCAACAATTGTGAACAGATGAGCAAATCAACAATTGTGAACAGATGAGCAAATCAACAATTGTGAACAGATGAGCAAATCAACAATTGTGAACAGATGAGCAAATCAACAATTGTGAACAGATGAGCAAATCAACAATTGTGAACAGATGAGCAAATCAACAATTGTGAACAGATGAGCAAATCAACAATTGTGAACAGATGAGCAAATCAACAATTGTGAACAGATGAGCAAATCAACAATTGTGAACAGATGAGCAAATCAACAATTGTGAACAGATGAGCAAATCAACAATTGTGAACAGATGAGCAAATCAACAATTGTGAACAGATGAGCAAATCAACAATTGTGAACAGATGAGCAAATCAACAATTGTGAACAGATGAGCAAATCAACAATTGTGAACAGATGAGCAAATCAACAATTGTGAACAGATGAGCAAATCAACAATTGTGAACAGATGAGCAAATCAACAATTGTGAACAGATGAGCAAATCAACAATTGTGAACAGATGAGCAAATCAACAATTGTGAACAGATGAGCAAATCAACAATTGTGAACAGATGAGCAAATCAACAATTGTGAACAGATGAGCAAATCAACAATTGTGAACAGATGAGCAAATCAACAATTGTGAACAGATGAGCAAATCAACAATTGTGAACAGATGAGCAAATCAACAATTGTGAACAGATGAGCAAATCAACAATTGTGAACAGATGAGCAAATCAACAATTGTGAACAGATGAGCAAATCAACAATTGTGAACAGATGAGCAAATCAACAATTGTGAACAGATGAGCAAATCAACAATTGTGAACAGATGAGCAAATCAACAATTGTGAACAGATGAGCAAATCAACAATTGTGAACAGATGAGCAAATCAACAATTGTGAACAGATGAGCAAATCAACAATTGTGAACAGATGAGCAAATCAACAATTGTGAACAGATGAGCAAATCAACAATTGTGAACAGATGAGCAAATCAACAATTGTGAACAGATGAGCAAATCAACAATTGTGAACAGATGAGCAAATCAACAATTGTGAACAGATTCGGTCTTAATATTTTACATCGTAAATTCACGCATTTAGCCGTTATAAGATGCAATACAATTATGAAATTGGAAAAATTGAAACGTGGGAGGGGGGCGGAGTGGATAAGTGTTTTTAATTTTATACAGCCCAATTTGAAGACCTTAAATTAATGCACCTTTCATCAAGTACTGATTGAACGCTACAGCCCGTGTTTCCAGCTCTGCTCTTCTGGATTCCACTGGATTTGGCAGCTGGTTGGCGTTTGGGACTGGAGCCCTACCCACTTCGTCTGCGCTTCTTCCTCCAGCCTTCTGAGCTAGCCAGAGCTGCTTCACTTCTGATACCTGAAAGACTTTTTATTGTAGCTTACCATCAACACATCCCCTTCACTCTAATAGTAAAACCACAGTAGTATAGCGCAACAAGAGGTCAAGCCTGTTTTCGGAGAAAGGTCAACCTGTCAAGGTCGCGTGACTATGTTACTCAATTAGCCTAATCTTTTTTTTTCTCGGGGGTCGTAATAAATATCTTATCAGATTAATTTTTTCACTTGAGTTGATTTTTAGGGGTATATGACCGGAATCATTGGGGACAATTTCGTCAATTGTTATTAAAGAGGATAACTTTATGAAATCGCTGAGGGGGAATAAAATATTATCAGATAACTTTTTTTCACTTGAAGTAATTTATCTCAAAGATATCAGAAAAAAAATTATTAAAATAAAAAATTCCCACTTTTGAGAAAAAGATATCAGAAAACATGTATATATAAAAAACAAAAAATTCTCAAATAATTTTTTTTGAAGTATCAGAAAAAATATATGAAAAAAACAGAAAATTCCAAAATTTGAGAAAAAGATATCAGATTATATATAAATAAAAACCAGAATAATCCAAAACCTGAAAATTTTTTGAAAGACATCAGAAAAAATTATAAAAAAAAAACTGAAAATTCCAAATAAATCCATTTTAAAATATCAGAAAAAAGTCTATGTAAAACCAAGAAAAGTTCAAAATTTGAGAAACAATTTTAGCTCCTACTAAAATTTTCATCCCTTCTAACCTTATCTTTTACATCCTGTTTAATCCTTTGTTTTCCCCCAGGATATAATTTGTCAGAAGACTTTAATCTTTGTAATAAAAAATTATATACCCTTTATTCCAAAATTTGAGAAGAGGATATCAGAAAACATATATAGATAAAAAAAAAAGAAAATTCTCAAACAATTTTTTTGAAGTTATCAAAAAAATAGATGTAAAAAATAGAAAATTCCAAAATTTGAGCAAAAGATATCAGAAAACATCTTTATCTAAAAAAAAACAAAACTCTCAAAAATTTCTTTCTGAGGTATCAGAAAAAAAAATATGTAAAAAACAAAAAATTCCAAAACTTGAGAAAAAGATATCAGATTATATATATATAAAAAACCACAACAATCCGAAACCTGAAAAGTCTTTTAAAAGACATCAGAAAAAATTATATAAAAAAACTGAAAATTTCAAAATAATTCCATTTTAAGATATCAGAAAAAAGTCTATGTAAAACCCGGAAAATTTGAGAAAAAGATTTTAAGCTCCTACTAAAATTTTCATCACTTCTAAGCTTAACTTTTACATCCGTTTAATCCTTTGTTTTCCCCAGGATATAATTTGTCAGAAGACTTTTATCTTTGTAATAACAAATTATATGCTCTTTATTCCAAAATTTGAGAAAAAGATATCAGAAAACATGTATAGATAAAAAAAAACAAAGTTCCAAAATATTTTTTTGAGTTGTCAGAAAAAAAAACATGTTAAAAACGGAAAATTCCAAGATTTGAGAGAAAGATATCAGATTATAAATAAATAAAAACCTGAAAAATCCGAAACTTGAATTTTATTTGAAGTCATCAGAAAAAAAAATTTATTAAAAAAGAAAAATCCCACTTTTGAGAAAAAGATATCAGAAAACATGTTTTCATAAAAAACAGAAAATTCTCAAATAATTTTTATTCAAGTATCAGAAAAATATATATCTAAAAAACCGAAATTTCCAAGATTTGAGAAAAATATATCAGATTATATATAATTAAAATACCAGAATAATCCAAAACCTGAGAATTTTATTTCAAGACATCAGAAAGAATTATATAAAAAACTAAAAATTCCAAAATAATTCCATTTAAGATATCAGGAAAAAGTCTATGTAAAACACAGAAAATTTCAAAATTTGAGAAGAAGGTTTTCAGCTCCTACTAATATTTTCATCCCTTTTAACCTTTTCTTTTACATCATGTTTAATCCTTTCTTTTTCCCAGTATATAAATTGTCAGATGACTTTTATCTTTGTATTGAAAAATTATATGCTATTTATTCCAAAATTTGAGAAAAAGATAACAGAAAACATCTTTATCTAAAAAAAAAAACAGAAAACTCTCAAATAATTTTTTTTGAGGTATCAGAAAAAAATACATGTAAAAAACAGAAAATTCCAAGATTTGAGAAAAAGATATCAGATTACATATAATTAAAAAACCAGAATAATCCAGAACGTGAGAATTTTAATTAAAGACATCAGAAAAAATTATATAAAAAACTAAAAATTCTAAAATAATTCCATTTTAAGATATCAGGAAAAAGTCTATGTAAAACCCAGAAAATTTCAAATTTGAGAAGAAGGTTTTCAGCTTCTAATAATATTTTCATCCCTTTTAACCTTTTCTTTTACATCCTGCTTAATCCTTTCTTTTTTCCAGCATATAATTTGTCAGAAGACTTTTATCTTTGTAATAAAAAATTATATGCTCTTTATTCCAAAATTTGAGAAAAAGACATCAGACACATGTGTAGATAAAAAACAGAAAGTTCTCAAATAATTTTTTTTGAGTTATCAGAAAAAAACATGTAAAAAACAGAAAATTCCAAGATTTGAGAGAAAGATATAAGATTATATATAAAAAAAACCAGAAAAATCCGAAATTTGAGACTTTTTTTTAAGGACATCAGAAAAAATTATATTAAAACTAAAAATCCAAAAAAATCCATTTAAAATATCAGAATTTGAGGTATCAGAAAAAAATATATGTAAAAAACAGAAAATTCCAAGTTTTGAGAAATGATATCAGATTATATATATATATACAAAAAACCAGAATAATCCGTAACCTGAGAATTTTTTTAAAAGACATCAGAAAAAATTATAAAAAAAACTGAAAATTCCAAATAAATCCATTTTAAAGTATCAGAAAAAAGTCTATGTAAAACCAAGAAAAGTTCAAAATTGGAGAAAAAAAATTTAGCTCCTACTAAAATTTTCATCCCTTCTAACCTTATCTTTTACATCCTGTTTAATCCTTTGTTTTTCCCCCGGGATATAATTTGTCAGGAGACTTTTATCTTTGTAATAAAAACTTATATGCTCTTTATTCCAAAATTTGAGAAAAAGATATCAGAAAACAAATATAGATAAAAAACAGAAAGTTCTCAAATCATTTTTTTGAGTTATCAGAAAAAATATATGAAAAAAACAGAAAATTCCAAAATTTGAGAAAAAGATATCAGATTATATATAAATAAAAACCAGAATAATCCAAAACCTGAAAATTTTTTGAAAGACATCAGAAAAAATTATAAAAAAAACTGAAAATTCCAAATAAATCCATTTTAAAGTATCAGAAAAAAGTCTATGTAAAACCAAGAAAAGTTCAAAATTGGAGAAAAAAAATTTAGCTCCTAAAATTTTCATCCCTTCTAACCTTATCTTTTACATCCTGTTTAATCCTTTGTTTTTCCCCCGGGATATAATTTGTCAGGAGACTTTTATCTTTGTAATAAAAACTTATATGCTCTTTATTCCAAAATTTGAGAAAAAGATATCAGAAAACAAATATAGATAAAAAACAGAAAGTTCTCAAATCATTTTTTTGAGTTATCAGGAAAGAAATTATGAAAAAACAGAAAATTCTAAGATCTGAGAAAAAGATATCAGATTATAAATAAATAGAAACCAGAAAAATCGGAAGCTTGAGAATTTCATTTGAAACATCAGAAAAAAATTATTTAAAAAAAATTCCAAGGTTTGAGAAAAAGATATCAGATTATATATAAATAAAAAACCAGAATAACCCAAAACCTAAGAATTTTATTTAAAGACATCAGAACGAATTATATAAAAAACTAAAATTCCAAAATAACTCCATTTTAAAATATCAGGAAAAGTCTATGCAAAACCCAGAAAATTTCAAAATTTGAGAAGGTTTTCAGCTCCTACTAAAATTTTCATCCCTTTTAACCTTTTCTTTTACATCATGTTTAATCCTTTCTTTTTCCCAGTATATAAATTGTCAGAATACTTTTATCTTTGTATTAAAAAATTATATGCTATTTATTCCAAATTTTAAGAAAAAGATAACAGAAAACATCTTTATCTAAAAAAAAAAACAGAAAACTCTCAAATAATTTTTTTGAGGTATCAGAAAAAAATAATATGTAAACAACAAAAAATTCCAAGATTTGAGAAAAAGATATCAGATTATATTAATTTTATATAAAAACCAGAATAATCCAAAACCTGAGAGTTTTTTGAAAGACATTAGAAAAAATTATATAAAAAACTGAAAATTCCAAATAAATCCATTTTAAAATATCAGAAAAAAGTCTATGTAAAACCAAGAAAAGTTCAAAATTTGAGAAAAAATTTTAGCTCCTACTAAAATTTTCATCCCTTCTAACCTTATCTTATACATCCGGTTAAACCCTTTTTTTCCCAGGATACAATTTGTCAGAAGACTTTTATCTTTGTTATTAAAAATTATATGCTCTTTATTCCAAAAATTGAGAAAAAATTATCAGAAAACATGTTTAGATAAAAAAAACAGAAAGTTCTCAAATCATTTTTTTGGAGTTATCAGAAAAAAAAACATGAAAAAAACAAGAAAATTTCCAAGATTTCAGAAAAGATATCAGATTATAAATAAATAAAATCCAGAAAAATCCGAACTTGAGAATTTTATTCAAAGACATCAGAGAAAATTATATTAAAAATGAAAATTCCAAAAAATTTCAAAACTTGAGAAAAGATTTTTAGCTCCTACTAAAATTTTCATCTCTTCTAACCTTATCTTTTACATCCTGTTTAATCCTTTGTTTTTCCCCCAGGATATAATTTTTCAGAAGACTTTTATCTTTGTAATTAAAATTTATCTGCTCTTTATTCAAAATTTGAGAAAAATATATCAGAAAACATGTATAGATAAAAAAACAGAAAGTTCTCAAATAAGTTTTTTTGAGTTATCAGGAAAAATTATGAAAAAAACAGAAAATTTCAAGATTTCAGAAAAAGATATCAGATTATAAATAAATAAAA